GAAAATGTGAAATCCTGAGGATCTCTGAGGGAAGCCCTGGGGAAAATCCTGAGGGAAATGGGAAGCGCTGAGGGAAATGGGAAATGCTGAGGAAAACTCTGAGGGAAATGGGAAGCGCTGAGGGGAAATGTGAAATCCTGAGGAACTCCGAGGGAAGTGCTGAGGAAAATCCTGAGGGAAATGAGAATTGCTGAGGAAAACCCTGAGGGAAACATGAAATGCTGAGGAAAGTGTGAAATCCTGAGGAACTCTGAGGGAAGTGCTGAGGGAAACTGGGAAAATCTGAGGAAAGCCCTGATGGAAATGGGAAATGCTGAGGAAAACCCTGAGGGAAACGTGAAACTCTGAGGGAAATGCTGAGGAAAACCCTGAGGGAAATGGGAATCACTGAGGAAAATGGGAAACTCTGAGGAAAACCCTGATAGAAACAGGAAACTGAGGAAAACCCTGAGGGAAGTGGGAAACTGAGGAAAACTCTGATACAAATGGGAATTGCTGAGGAAAACTGAGAGAAATGGGAAACTCTGAGGAACTTTGAGGGAAATACTGAGGAAAACGCTGATAGAAATGGGAAATGCTGAAGGAAGCCCTGAGGGAAATGTGAAATGTTGAGGAAAACTGCAAGGAAACTGTGAAACACTAAGGAAAATCATGAGGAAAATGTGAAACCCTGAGGGGATTGTGAAACACTGAGGGGAATCGTGAAGTCCCGAAGAAAATCTGAAACCTTGAGGAAAATGTGAAACCTTGAGGGGGATCGTGAGGCATTGAGGGGGATCATGAGACATCGAGGGAGCGTGGAGCTGTGAGGAAAATGGGAAACCAYGAGGAAAATGGGAAACCACGAGGGGATTGTGAAACATTGAGAGGGACTGCGGTGTCCTGAGGGGGATTGTGGAAACCTGAGGAGAAGGTGAAACCTTGAGGAGAAGATGAAGCCCTGAGGAGGATCCTGAAATCCTGAGGGGGATCCTGAGATCCCAAAGGGGRTTGTGGAACCCTGAGGAAAAGGTGAAACCCTGAGGAAAAGGTGAAGCCCTGAGGAGGATCCTGAAAGCCTGAGGGGGATCCTGAGATCCTGAGGAAAAGGTAAAGCTCTGAGGGGAATTGTGAAGCACAGAGGAGGATCTTGGTGTCCTGAGGGGATTTTGGCACCCTGGGGGGGGAATGAAGCCCTGAAGGGGGTTGTAGCACCCCGAGTGGATCCGGGATCCCTGAGGGGGATCATGGCACAGGGACATTTTTCCCCCTGGCCTCGTGGAGGGAATCRCGGGCGGAGGTTTGGGAGCCTGCGTGGAGCCGTGGCCTGCCATGTGCACGGGCGGCGGCAGAGGGTGCCAGCCGGCCGGGAGAGCCGCCCGCCGCGCARCAGGATTCCAAGGAACCGCCCGCCTCGCACCGCCCGATGGAGGGATGTGGAAGGGACCAGCAACCCCCATTAAACACCTCCAAGGTACCCTAATTCTTGAGACCGTCAGAAGCAGAATGAGCCCCTGGTTTGCTTCTCCTGCCTCCCCAGCTTAAGACACAGCAGGGAGCGAGCTCAAAATTAGCTTTGGCCTTGGTTCAACTCAGTCGTGAAACCTAAGTAATTGCAGCCTTCCTAATGAATATTAGCTCCTGAGGAGAAAAGTCTATTGAATTTGGTAGGTTCATGGTCAGGGCTGCTCTATCCTTTGGTCCTAAGCGTGTATCTTGTGCCCATTTAAGAAGAATAAAGTCTCTAAGTCCCAAACTCTGAGCATACAAAGGGGTGCGTTGTGGTGTGGGACGAGGCAAATTTAACAGTCTGTTTTGGGGCAAGGGCTGTCTGTATTGGCGACATGCACACAGTCACACACTGTCGGACAGGAAACATGAGAAACGCACTGGAGATAGCACCCGTTTGGGGCAAAAGCTGCGTTTTCAGTGAGCGGTGCTGAACAGGAACTAACTACCTTGGGTTTTTCTTGCTTTGCAGGAAGTGGTGGCATGTTTTAATGCAYGGTTGCTCATCCGAAAATGCTCCTTTCTCTTTTCTTACCAGATCAGGTAACTGAAACCACGGAAACGTACATCTCCACGTGGATCAGCGCCCAGAGGGAAGTGTGATGAGGTGCTCGCTGTGAGGTTGGAATCCCGAAGGAAACGCTACAAGGAAAGTGAGGTCTAAATAGGCACTTTATTGGTGGTTGGAATGGCGACGTGGGTACAAGGACTGTGCGCGGCATCGGGAAAACACATGTACGTCCCAGCGAGAGGAATGCACTTGCATAGGCGCCCCGGGGCGTAGGATGAGCAGCTAATGCCTCGGAGGGATACGTTACAGAAAAGGAAGGAGTGTTTCCAGACACCAGCCTGCAGGTCTCGGCAGTGGCACTTGGCCATTGCGGGATCATCCCTGCCTGATTTCAGGGAGCAGAGGGGAGCGCACACGGTTTGCAGGGGCAAAAGTAAAGAACAAGGCAGAAAGAGTAAATATTCTTAAAAAAACRGCTTAAAACCCAGACAGCAGCAGTTAGACACTAAACCAAGGGTGTTGGTGAACAAACAAAACTAAATATTTTTAAAAATTGGTCACAAACACCCGGCTAAGACACCAACCACCCTAATGGCTGTGGTGATTAACGGGGGAGCACCAGGCCTGCGCGGTACTGACACTACAGGGAAGCAACTAGGAAAAAAACGTTCAAACCGCTCAAAACATTTAATAGTTCAGATAAAAAACATTCCCTGTGTCTTAGAGAAACAGTACAGGAGCCAAAACATTACTGGAAATAGGTACAAAAAACTRAATATAGCCTTCAGGGTGGCTAACCACATGCAAACGTAGGAGTTTTTGCACGTTACGGATTAAAATGAAGACCTGCGCTGCCTCCTGGCCCCGGCGCTGGGTTTTCTGAACACTTGGCACGGTGCCGCTCTACCCTCCTTCCATCCCTTCAAAAATCTCCTTGTTTTCTCCTGTAAGCTGCCAAAGACCTGGACTTTCCCACTGGAAAAGGGCGCTGAGCTGCAAGTTCAGAGCACTGTGGCATCTAGGAGCACAAGGCGACTGCTCGGTTATTTGGCGCATTKAAAATTGCCTTAAGTTAATTAACAAGGCTAAATTACTCCTTTAGCAAGCATTGGGGAGCGGGACATAAACCCTGCACATTGTTAGACACAATTAGCTAATAGCATCGTGCCAGTTTGGGGCTGTTTACTGCATAACGGCAATTAAAAAAAAATCATATAATACAGGATTACTTTTTTTCCTGGGGGAATTGGTAAAAGCTTCTTGGCTGCCAGTTGTTTTAGAAAGGGATGCCCGGAGCATCCGTCTGTCTGTTCATTCCCGATTGCACCCGGACATGCGCTCGGGACAGACATTTGGCCTTTGCCAAGTATTGGGCGAAAACCTTGGCCCTTCCCCAGTCGTTTCCTCTCCCTGCTCCTGCGCAGGCTGAGACCATTAATTAACAACCCCCAAAAGAACTAAATTCTCTACCCCATGATCTGTAAAAGCCTAAATGGCTCCTGAAGCAGCGTGGAAAGCAAGCCCTGTCACCGCCCAGAACTCCCTGTGTGTGAATCAACAACTTCACTAAAATCTATTTTGGGGCAAAAAGGTGCAAATGCTAAAGGTTGGGCCCCGCTGCCGGGGGTCGGATCTGCCTGCTGATCGTTGCAGCACCTTGATTTAGTTGAGCATTAAGAGGCATTTTCATATTGGGGTTGGCATCTGCTTAAAAAAAAAAAAAAAGTCCTAAGATAACTAAATTTGGTAATTTTCCTTTTCTTCCTGCCTTTTTTAAGGATTTACCAAATCCTTGGCAATGAGTCGTTCCTCCTGTGCAAGCACGGAGTAAAACCTCCAAATATCCCCTCTCTCCACTGCCTCGTGGGGCTGCTACRAATGAAAACAGGTGACGGGGACTGTGGTTTTGTTGGCCATTCATTCCCAACATTTCCACCCCGGACAAAGGGCGCTTAGTGCTGCACGCGATCCCGGCGGCTCCTCTCCGGGAGCGGGAAGGGGAGGCCGGGAAGGGGCTATGCATCCGGGTGACCTTTGTTTCTTTTCTTTAGCAGCTTTTGCAGGCCTGGCGACATGAAGTAAGGCTTTTCCGTGGAGCCGTCGTGGCGCTCCAGGTCTTCCACTGCAAAGAGAGAAGGGCGAGAGAATCCCAGCCCATGCTCCAGAGGGAAACGGCACAGATGCRTCGCTGCGCGGAGAAGGCCTCCCCCAGCACTGGGCCGTAAAGCAGCTCGCTCRGAGTTTGGCACTGTTTGGCACGCGGCACAGAGGTGATAATTGGTATTTTTTGCATGATTTCCCTCGCCCTGGAGACGCTGTAATCGGCCCCAATGTGACGGCCGCCTGTTCAAGGTGCCTCCGCTTGGGCTGGGTGCCAGGGAGGCTCTGGCTTTCCACTGGAGAACACCTTCCCATAAGGAATGGCCGGGCAATCAGCGGAGCGCGGGGCAGCCTGGCTGCCTGCGCCGCTCCGCTCAGCGCCAGTCACTCCCGGCTTTCTGTAGGCAGAAAGGTGAAGGAGAGGGAGCCGCGCTGGGGCAGGCAGCTTTCCCGGCTGTCGCTCCCACGCATCCCGTCAGCAAATGTGCCGGGAGCAGCTCCCCACACGGCGCCGRCGCCCCCAGCCCTTCCTTTTTGTTTACGGCTGCGGATTAGGAACAAAGATCTCTACTTAAAAGCAACACAAAGCTGCGTGTGGGCAGGGAGCCTTGGCTCGCGCCGGCAGCACCCGGAGCACCGTTTGGGGTATAAAAATCCTCAAAAAGGGGCAGGAAGCTGGGCTGGGCGTGATGTCTGTCCCGGGCTGCTATCCCTGGCTGCCAGCACCCTTGGGATCAGGGCTGCCCTTCAGCAGGATCTCGCTCAGCTCGGGGGACATGTAGTAGGGCCTCTCCGGGGATCCGTCGTTCCTCTCCAGGTCTTCGCCTTTCCGCAAGCCCCAGAGGCCGCGGCGGAGAGGGTAAAAAGCAGCGGAAGAGTCGGGGAAAGGCGCAGCGAAGTTGGGACAGAGACACGAGAAGGAAAGAAAAGGAGAAGGAAGAGAGAGAAAAGGGAAAATCCGTTAGTCGCAGCTAGCTCCCACCACCAAGCCCAAAGCACCGGAACAAGAGGAGCTAACACGAGGCCGCAGGTTTCCGCTTGCAGGCGGAGGGGAGAGGAGGAGCCGGGAGAGGCAGAAGTGGAAATAAAATGTTGCAGCTGCAGACAGAGCTGGAGGGTTAGTTCTTGCATCCCTCAAAACCACGTTAGGCTCAAAAATGATCCTTGGCGGTGGTTTTGCATGTGGCACACAGCTCCTCTGAAGGGGGACTGGGAATAAGCCCCAATCCTGGCGGATCCCCCCCAGCGCGCCAAGCAGTCACCAAAAAAAGAGACATCTGGCAATAAATGGTGGCAGAGCCCAAAGCGGAAGCTACAGGAGCCACAGGAAAATGTCCGGACCGTGGCAGGAAGTGCAAGGCTGCAGCAGCAGGGAAGTGGGAAGGCCAGTGCGGAGCCGGCGTGCTCCGGGGACAGTGACACTTACAGAAGCAGAGGAAGAGCGTGTCCACGCACATGCCGTAGACGCTGAAGAAACCGTGCGCGATGAGATAGGAGCCCACGATAACCGTCTGTAAGAGAAAGTGCCCAGGCCACGTTCCAGAGCGGGAATCCGCAGCCGGAGCCTCCCGATGGAGGAGCCTTTATTCGCCCATTCCAGGCAAACTCCAGCGAAGCTGAGGACGTGACTCACCAGAATTGGCACCCAGTAGTAGTTGAGGGATGGGGCTGTGTCCTGGACCAGCTTGATTCGCTGGGTGAAGAAGAAGAAGGCCAGGACCCCTAGGGAGGAAAACAAGGAAAATAACGGGGCCGCTGAGGAAAGCAGGTGGAAGGAGATGAGGGGAATACAGATGTGGGGACCGGAGTCCAACGAGGCCAGGACGGCACGGAGGGAGGTTGTGCCCAGACCACTCACCAACGCTGCCCACGATGAGCAGTTTGCCCAGGAAGAAGAGGAAATCGGTGACTTTATCCAGAACAGCCACCCTGGAAAGCAAAGGGAGATGAGTGGCTGCCATGGGGCCAGCAAGCGGTGTGGGAGGAAGAGGAGGAGGAAGCAGCCGAAACCCCATGGCTGGACGCAAACCGCCTGCGSAGCAGCCTGGGACTGGGAGAGCCGTAAGCGCCTCCTAAGCTGCTCTCTGGAAAGCGGAGGCCAGGACTCACCTGATGATGTTGCGCATGAGCAGGAAGAAGGCGTTCCGGGCGGACGCGCAGAAGTTGGTGCCGTAGACGGCGATCTGCGGGGATGGAGAAGAAGGAGCAGGGAGGAGATGCAGAGCCGCAGAGCRCACGCTGTCCCCGTGCGCACAGGCTAGGGGCGAGTCTGAAACCATCGGGATAAACCGTGGCCAAAGCCCAGACACCTCGAGCTGATCCCACCTCGCGGCTCTGAGAAGGTCTGAGATGAAGCCGCAGGGCCGAGGACAAGATTTTCCAGGGAACGCYTCACTCCCAGGTGAAACCGAGAGCCCCCCACCACGGGTAACATTCCAGTTGCTCCAAGTGCGTGGGATCTTACCATGATGTATGCGTTTCTGTTGAGGAACTTGATGAATTTCTCCAGGCACCAGAAGCAGCACTTGAGACAGCCCAGGAGGAACTTGGCGACCTTGTTGTCTGCGGCTGGGGCACAAACACCGCGGGCACCGGTGAGGGAACAGGGCACAGGAATCCCTAGTCACCTCCCCATGCATATTCCCAAACTCCCAGGAAAAGCCCCAGGTCCTTCTGCAGTCCTGTGTAGCTGCAGCAAGGCTTGGTGGCACCTCCAGGGAATCTGCTGGCCACCAAGCCAGAACCTGTCGCTTTTTCCCTGGAAAACATCTCTTGGACTAGGAGGTGACTAGGGAAGGGGAAATATCCCCCTTGAATACTGGGATTAGCTGCCGGCCTTGATGCCTCCGGAATATGGGAAAGTGGCGCTGCAACCCGCTCCGCTTTAGGCACCTTTCAGCCGGTGGTCCAGATACTCCAGCGTGACCCGGATGACTTGGACGATGGCGAGGATGAGGGATCCGAAGGCCAGCGAGCCAGTGTGGTACCTGCCCCGCAGAGACCACCCACATCAGCGTCGGAAAACACCGCCTATCCGCAACACCGGCTCTCCGGAGCCGCCCACCTGAGCGCCCGTCCGAAAGCAGAGAAGAGCGGGAACGCCGGGATGTCGTCGGGCTTCTTGAAGGCCCAGTAGTAGGAGGCGAAGGCGCCGGCGAGCGTCACCTGGCCCAGCGCGATCACGAAGTTGGCCAGCCAGAAGAACATGAAGATGTTGAAGAACTGGAGGGCGATGAGGTACTTGTGGTAGGCGCTCTCACCGCCGTAGAACGCGAAGAGGCACTGGGCGTCCGGGCACGCCTTGGTCACGTTGCTCGTGTTGAACGTCTGCGGGGAGAGGCGCTCAGGGCCGCGGGCCGGGTTTTCCAAGCCCGGAGCCTCGCGTTTCCGGACTGTCAGGTTGGCTCCCGCTTCGCTCCGCGACGCGACGCTTGGCTCAGCAGGCGCCGGGTGGGGCGAAACGCGGAGCGGTGCGACAGCCCCAGGGGGAACCACGCGGCGTGGATGCCCGCGGAACAGGCAGCCTCGGCAGAGGGAGCGCCRCTTCCCGGGAGTCCTTCCTCACCTCGGGCATGCAGGTCTGCCCGGAATACTGGCACGCTGTCTCGTTGAACACCTTGTAGACAGCCTCGTTGGAGGTGGCCAGGAAACTAGAGAGCAGTAGTTAAGGAGAAAAACACAGTGGGAGCCGCCAACGCTGCCTTTCCAGGATGGCTTTTTTCTCTGTTGTTTCCCTGTGTTTAAGCAGCTGCGGAAGCTGAACCGTCCCGGAGTGGGAACGGCCCTGGATGAGGGTGTGTGGGAAGGATACACGGCGGTGCTGGCCCAGTATGCGATGCAGAGGCACAGCAGGAAGAAGGTGCAGAGAGGGAAGAGCAGGGATGTCATGATGTGACCGATGGCCCTGTAGGGAAGTGGGAGAAAGGGAGCGCTCCGGGAAGCGGTCCGGGAAGTGTGTGGGAGGCGCATGGCCACTCCGAGCACCCCAGCACCTGCTGGCCTCCTTGATGAGCGCAATGGCGATGAGGATGCGCTTGCGGAGGAAGATGAGCAGCAGCACGATCACCACTTCCACSACGCACAGGATGATCACTGCAGGAAAGCAGGGGACATCCTGGTGGCACTGCCGGAAAGGCCACCGTGGATGCTCCGTGCTGGGGACACGGCCACCGGGGACTTACTGAAGGCCAGCCAGGTCTGCCGCAGGTGCAGGTAGACACGGAGATCCGTCTGGAAGCCCAGRTCCTTCAGGGAGACGTCGGAGCCGGCCTCTCCCTTCAGCTTGGCATATTCCAGGTAGCAGTGGAAGATCCCTATGGAGAGCAGACGCGTTGGCACTGGGCAGTGAGCACCGGAGAGGCCGCCCGCGCGCTCCGGGGCCGCTGCTCACCGTAGGCCAGCACCAGGATCACCAGGACTATCATCACCCAGACCATGATGCCGGCCAGGTAGCGCAGCAGCACGATGAAGAGCAGGCTGGCCAGCATGGCGATCACCAGGCCTCTGTGGAGTGGAACGGGGCGGAATGGCACAGAGAATCCCAATGGAGCGGGGAATCCCACATCTCCCCTCCCCAGGAGGACCGGAGCCGTCTCCCTGCTCTGCTCCCCCACGGTTCCTCCCTCCCCAAATGAGGAGAAGGAATAAAAGGGGAATCCAGACCCCCTCCAAACCGCCCAAACCATCACGGCTTGCCGACACGCTCCGGCACGCTCCAGCATGTTCCGGCACGCCCTGGCACGCTCCGGCGGCTCCTGCTCACATGATTATCCAGTACCAGGAGACCGTGTAGTCCTCAAAGATCTTCATGGCCAGCTGCCTCGCTTCCAGGACCACGTTGGCTTTCCTAGTATGGGAATGGGAAGCAAAACCAGGATAAAGCAGAGCAGAAAGCCCAAACCAGCAGCTGTCCGAGGAAGGAAGCAGCACCCAGTTTTCCCAGAGAAGGGAGCCACTCACTTGGCCCCTTCCAGCAGCTCTGTGACATTCCGGCGTTGTCCTTTGCCATCGTCGTAGGTCGTCTCGTTGCCCACCATGATGACTCCCTTCTTGGCCTGCACGGCGGGGAGGCACCGGCGAGCCACTGCACCACACRGAGAAGGAATGTTGGCCGCGCGGATGCAGAACCCGGAACGCTCCGGCACGGAGCCAGCAYGGAGGAGCCCTCCGTTAGGAGCCCGTCAGACTGGGAGAAAAGGGGAATCCGGCCCCGCATGGCTGCCTGCGAAGGAGCTGCCCCGGCTGGGATCCCGCTTCCTGCCCCGGCTTCCCCCTTGTGATGGAGCGCTGCGACCTACGTGGCGTGCTGGGAATGAGCATGGCCGGACACTCCTTGTTCTTCAGCACCTCGATGGGTCTCTGGAAGAGCGAGAGGGGCGGCCGGCATGAGGATGGATCCGCAGCCAGGGGCAATTCCGGCATCGGGCTCCCGGCACTCACCTTGAGTGGGTTGTCGAATCCCGGCACGCAGAACTGCCGGTAATATTCCATGTCGCTGGAGCTATAGGCGCTCAGCAGGGTGAGGAACCGATCCGGGCAGCGGTTCACACAGATCTGGAAGGAGCAGAACGGGAGCAAGGCCGCCTGTCCCCCACCCCATCCCACTTCCAGGAGCTGCTTTCGCATGGGAACACTGTGCTTCCCTCCTCATCCCGCTCCTCTCCTCTCCTACTTCCCTCCTCTCCTGCTTCCCTCTCCCGCTTCTCTCCTGTTCCTGCTTCCCTCTGTTTATCCCATCCCAAATACACAGGGAAGCCAGTGGCACAGGGAGCTGCTTGGACTTGCACCAGAAGCAAAACACCAGGAATGCCAGGAGCACATCCGGGATCCCGGCAGAGCCAGATACCTGTGTGGTCGGACACTGGAATTCCAGCAGCACCAGCGGGCTGGCGCACTTGACAATGTCGAAGTAGAAGAGGAAAGGCTTGTTCCTACGGACGGACAGACACATGGATGCGTCAGCGGGATCCCGCCAAGCCGGCGTGGCCTGAAGCAATCCCGGAGGCAGATACGTGGCTTCTCCGGCGGTGTTCCCAGTGCTCCCATCTCTGGAGACACGTACGCGTTGGGAGTTCCCTGCTGGCCACAGAACTGGCCCCGGCTGTCCGTGGGGTAAATCACCTTCCGGGGGTCTCCATGCGTCCATGCTGGGAGCGGAAAACACTGGCTTGGATCGCAGCTCCCGATATCCGTTCCCTATCCATGCTTTTATGTGGGATGTAGCACGGCACCTACCCACAATGCCCACGGCCACGTAGCCCACGATGGCAACCACCAGCAAGACGCAGCAGACAATGTCCGTGCAGCCCCTGTGGAGCGGGACCATGAGCTGGGCTCGGAGCTGGAGCCACYGCTCCAAGAGCGCTCCCAGGAGCCGGGGCTCGGAGCTGGAGCCACCGCTCCAAGGGCGCTCCCAGGAGCCGGAGCCGGTGCTTACCGATCGTAAATGGGACCTTTGAAAGTTGGGTCATATTTGTGCGGCGTCCCTGTGAAGATGGGAGAAAATGCTAGGAAAGAGGAGCGGCTGGAGAGGGCCAGGCCAGCTGGGCGCTTCCCGACGTTCCCGGCACCTCCCAGCTCCTTTCCCTCCCATACTCGCAGCTCTTCCCGGCAGCAATTTGCTGCCTGAGGCAAAGGAGTGACCCGGAGGCATTGTGGGGCAGCTGGACATGGGGGTTGCTCCCAGTGTTGTCCTTCTCTCCTTGCAATGCCTCCGGCTTCCAGGCACAGAGACACTTGTCCGATTGGAAAAAAGTTTCTATGGAGTTCTCTAAGCGACCCTCTCCAAAAAACTTCCATTCTGCTCCTGGGGATTTCTGCAAGTCCCCAAAACACASGTTTTGGTGGTTCCCCCTTCCTGGAGCAGCGCTGCCGGCTATCCCTGCACACTGGGCAGCCAGAGCTGCCCGGGCTCCCGTTTTATTTTTAGGGTGGGATTGGCGCCAGCTCCGCGCCCGCGTTCCCGGAATGAGCACGGCCAGTCTGAGCCGGGTGGCTCCGGGTGTGCGGAGCGAGTGGCGTCTTCCCACGGAGCTGTGACGTTTTCCCGCAGAACCCCGGCATTTTCTTGCAGAGTGCGTGACATTTTCCCACAGAGCCCCACCATTTTCCCACAGACCTGGCAGTGTTTTCCCACGGACCATCCGGCTCCCAGAGGCAGTGGATGCTGCAGCCCCCTGAGCCAGAGACTTTCCTCCTGTCCGGGACCTCTCCAGCTCTTTATCTCCAGGTTTCCAGGGCTCCGGCTGCCCTGGTTACGCATTAACTGTGGACACACCCGGAGCCGTCCTCCATGCCCAGCCGGAAAGGGGCACTGGGATCAGCACCGCTTCTCTGCTTTTTTCTGCCGTTTTTTCTTGTTTTTCCCCCCATTCCTGATCTTTTTCTCCAGCAAAATTCACTCCGTGCTGCCCCGGAACAAGCCGTCTCTCCGGCCTCTCCGCATGGATCACCGAGGACGCGCTCCGTGCAGCCAGAGCCCCCGGCGCGGGCGCCTCTGCCAGCCTTACCGTGCTTGCCGTAGTAACGCTCCGAGTCCTTGGCCATGCCRGCGGGAGCGGGGCCGCCGCCACCGGAGCGGCACCGGAGCGAGAGTGGGAGTGTGCGGCCAGAGCTGGCTCACGCACATTCCGGCGTGCCGAGCGCGCCGCCCCGGACACCGCCCCGGAGGCGCCGCCAGGCGCCCGGAAAAATAGAGGCCCCGGCAGCAGGTGCCGCTTCCTCCTCTCACTCCGCTCYGGGGGATTTCCCCCCCGGCCGGCACTTCCTCCTAACCCGGAGCCTGGGAAGGGAAACTGGGGCACTAACTCCGCTGATGAGATCCCGGAATGGAGCCACGTTTGGGCAGGAAGCGCCAGAGCCGCAGCCCYGTGAGCAACGCTGGGATGTGCCTCTTCCTATGGGATGCATGGTGCTGTTCGGGACACATGGAATTGCTCATTCCCAGCCCCATGGGACACACGGAGCCATTCCGGACACACTCTGCTTGTTCCTCGTTCCATGGTTTGGGACACACGGAGCTGCTTGGGAAACACGGAGCTGCTTGTTCCTGGTCCCATGGGACACACGGAGCTGTTTGGGAAACACTCTGCTCATTCCTAGTTCCATGGTTCAGGACACAGGGAGCTGCTTATTCCTGGTCCCATGGGACACACGGAGCCGTTTGGGACACACACTGCTCGTTCCTGGTTCCATGGTTTGGGACACACGGAGCTGCTTGGGACACACGGAGCTGCTTGTTCCCGGTCCCATTGGACACAGAGCCGTTCTGGATACACTCTGCTCGTTCCTGGTTCCATGGTTTGAGACACACGGAGCCGCTTGGGAAACACGGAGCTGCTTGTTCCTGCTCTCATAGGACACACAAAGTGGCTCCTTCCCGACCACATCCCTATTTTTAGGCTGTAAATAAACACCGCGCCGGGGTGGGAACGGGCAGGCGCCGCTGGGACCGGCCGCGGTTCCCACCGGCTCGTGGGGCCGGGCCTGGAGTGGCCCCTCTCCGGGAGCTGCTTCCCAAGGGGAGGGAAAGGCATCACCGCAAGGAAGGAGCTCGGGAAGGGGCTTGGGAATGGACCCTATTCCCGCAGTGCCAGCGGGCGGGAAGCCTTGCAGCCATCCTGGGGATCCCGAGGGTCACGGGTGCCACCACAGTGCCCAGAGCATCCCGGGATCCAGCCCATTCCCGAGCAAGGGAGGTGCTGGAGTCGGTTCCCACCCGTATCTGGAGCCCCAAAGCCTGGAGAGGCCAGAGCAGGGAGAGGCTCCGGGAGCAAAGTGGGAGCCGGACAGGTCTCAGCACCACTGGGATGGATCCCGGGATCCTGGTGTGCCTGGCTGGGACATGGTGCCCACTGGAGGCCAGAGCAGTGGGTCCTGGCAGGAGAGATCCAAGGGGATCTCCAGGAAGGGCTGGAATCCCGTAGGGATCTGCCTGGGTTGAGAGTCTGGGAATGGGACCCCCAGGAGGGATCCCTTAGCAAGGATGTGGGTCCGTGGGGACCACAGCATCCGGGAATGGGATCCGGGCAG